TACCTAAATGTCAAAAATCATTGTCATATATCTCATATCGACATTTACCTAAATGTCAAAAATAAATGTCATGTATCTCATACTGACATTTATCTATTTGTCGAAAATAAATGTCATATATCTCATACTGACATTCACCTAAATGTCAAAAATATATGTCGTAAATTTCTTAGCCACATTCAACTAAATGTCAAAAAATAAATGTCATAAATTTATTACCAACATTTAACTATATGTTGCGAAGTAAATGTCGTAAATTCTTTTCTACATTTACCTAAATGTCACAAAGTAAATGTCACAAATTCTTCCCGACAATTACCTAAATGTCGAAAAAATTCTCGACACTAAAATTTACGACATTTGGTCAATTTTAATGTTAGTTTAAAAGGAACAGAAATACTAATAAAAGCATGTTTTAGAGAAGGAATAGATACACCCATAGAAATATACTTAGCGGATGATAGAATCATACAACCCATAGAAAAAAGTATAATAAGTGCAGTAAAAGGTAACCTCATATACCAAAAATTTAAATTTATAATAAGTGCTAACTACTCAGTAGCAATAAATGACAGAAATATAGATAAATCATTAGTATTATATTGGAAAATGTCAGGAATAGAACTAGCCCCGGGAAGTAAAATATTTACAGCTAGATGTAAAAACTTATATGTTTTAACAACAAAACATAAAATAACAGCAAAAAATAAAATAAAAAAAATAAAAATAGAAGATCCTTTTGAAAGAATAGTCAAAACATGCTTAAACATGCTTTTATTAGTATTTCTGTTCCTTTTAAACTAACATTAAAATTGACCAAATGTCGTAAATTTTAGTGTCGAGAATTTTTTCGACATTTAGGTAATTGTCGGGAAGAATTTGTGACATTTACTTTGTGACATTTAGGTAAATGTAGAAAAGAATTTACGACATTTACTTCGCAACATATAGTTAAATGTATTTATGACATTTATTTTTTGACATTTAGTTGAATGTGGCTAAGAAATTTACGACATATATTTTTGACATTTAGGTGAATGTCAGTATGAGATATATGACAGTTATTTTCGACAAATAGATAAATGTCTGTATGAGATACATGACATTTATTTTTGACATATAGGTAAATGTCGGTATGAGATATATGACATTTATTTTCGACAAATAGATAAATGTCAGTATGAGATACATGACATTTATTTTTGACATTTAGGTAAATGTCGATATGAGATATATGACAATGATTTTTGACATTTAGGTAAATGCCGGTAATAATTTCTGACATTTATGAAATGCCGTTTAAAATTTTTGACATTTAAATTAAATGTTGGTAAAAAAAATTCAAGACACTTATGACATTTATAAAATGTCACAGACACTTTACTTAACGTCAACAAATGATATTATTGAATGTCATAAAATTAGTGACATTATTCTAAATTTTGCAAAATGTCATATCATTTTCTACATTTAGACTAATGTTGTTATCAAGTTTCTTTAAACATCCCTAAAAATTCTATATATATTTTTTCTCAAGACACAAATACTTATACACAATTCGTGCATTCAACACTATTCTCTTTATAACCAATATTTTATGTAAAGCAAATGTTTTCTAATATTATAACCAAAGAACAAATAGCACTGTAATAAGTGTATAGTAAAAGTTAAACAATGTCAAAACAAATGATCTGTTCTATCTCAAGTAAAAATGAGATCTAACTAATTACAATAATTTCAAAAAAATCAACTAATTAACTCCTAATTAAAATGGAATTAAAGTCACTAATAAAATTTGTAATAAAGCTTTATGATCAATCCAAAAGTCGAGCATTTTGAAGTTGATTCTTGACCTCAGTTTCCTTAAAAATTCTGCACAAGAAATTCACATAATTTTTTTTTTATAACTATATAATAATAGATATTAGATCCTCATTAACTAGAAAAAATTGAATTACAAAAAATAACGAATTGAACTTTTCTAAAAACAAACATATTGAGGAATTGATGAAAAAGGAGTAACTAACTATATTGATGATATTTTCCTCCCTTTGAAAAAATAAAGGAAAGAGGTTTGATGATTTGTAGTTTTTTTCAAACTTACCCACTTCCTTTTATTTTTTCCAACTATGCTAGTTCCAATCTTCTTGATCATGTTAGCCTGAGAAAAAAGATTAACTTTATTATTTTGATACTTTACGAAATTTAAAATTAACATTTCATTGAATACATAAGTGTGCCAATGTTTCTAGAATAATCAATTGTTGGGTGTTGGAGTGGAGACAAATGGCCGAGGAAGAAAAGAAGGTTGCGTTTAATAATTATGAACAAGAAAATCTACGTATAAGGAACTTGAGCAATCTGGACAAATAGATGAACATGAAGATTACTACCAAAACATTGTTATAAATAACGCAGAGGTCAAAACCAAAATTAATGACAAGGTGGAAGGCAACTAATATGCTGGACAAAATGAGGACAGACATAATGAGAGTTATACCAATCCTATTTGTAAAGATCTTAGCATGAGCAAACTTCAAGAAGTCCACAAATAAAAAAAAGGGCCTACTAAGGCTAGGAAAAGTAACAAGAAAAAAATACCTAAGCTTCAGATAAAAGAGCTATTCAAACCAACTTTATTTATTATATATTTATGAGATTTCACTAATTAATTTCCAATCCATATAGAAGTAAAACAATACAAATATACTCACTGATTAATTTATAACCAACCACACTATATAGCTCACACAAGTTACAATATATATAATTATAAGAGTAAACAAATAGCTAGAAATAGTTATAACCAGAAGTTGTAAAAAGAGGTGGGAACTGGAAACCAAAGATAATTGTGACACAAAAAGGAAAAAAAGGAAAATGGGAAGAACAAAGGAACAATCAACAATAAAAAAGAATCAGTTCAATAAGAAAAGAAGAACAAGAATAAAAAAGTGTGACAAGAAGGAAAAGATGAAAAAATGGCAAAAGTTCTCCAGAAAAATATTCCCCTCCTCACAAAGGAGGGAGATCAAATTAGTTTTTCTCACTCTTATGTTTCCATGATTAGAGCAGTTTTTTGGAATATTAGGGGATGAAATCATATAAAGCTACTCAAAGACTCAAAAATTGATTAATACAAACAACACTAACTTGTTTGCAATCCTTGAACTTTTTGTGTCCTTGACTCAGATCAATGGTTATATGAAGTATTTAGAATTTCAACATAGTATTTTCAATGATAATGGTAAGATATGATTCTTATTCACCGAAAATTCAGACTTAGCTTCTATTATATACAACAGTGAACAACCGGTTACTATAAAGATACACTACGGGGTTGCCAATATTGATCTTTTTATTCCTGTTGTTAATGACAAATGCATGGCTACGTACTAACAGGAGAGATTTATGGACTAGCTTAAAAAATGTTTATCAGCATTTATACGGTCCTTGGTGTAATGGAGCGACTAAAATATAATTCTTGACACTACTGAAAAATTGGGAGGTAGACAACACAGAATGCACACGAGTTAGTTGTGAAGTCACGAATCTTGGACAATTGGGACCTAACTTCACATGGTGCAACAATAGAAGACAAAACAAAAGAATATGAAAAAGGTTTGATTGAGTATTTTCTAATGACCAATAGACTCAATTGTTTCAGAGCAATGATATTAGACATTCGGAGAGAATTGATTCAGATCACAGACCTATCTTAATCAGTTGTTTTCATTATAATCAGATTGGTATTTAATACTTCAAGTTCGTAGATTTTTGGACTAAGCAAATTTATTTTCATGGCTTTGGTAGAAGAAGTTCAAGTTGTTATATCAAAGGCAATTCAATGTGGGTTCTACAACAAAAATTCAAGATTCTGAGCATGAAACTTTGATTGTGGTCCAGAGAAGTTATTTGGAATGTGAATGAGCATGTAAGTAAACGGGAAAGAAAAATGTTGGAACTGGAAGAACTGAACTTGGCTAACAACAACAACCAAAGTAGAGAAAATCTTCTCTAAAGTCAGGCAGAATATACGAGATGCATGGTTAGATATTCAACAGACACTATTGCAGAAAGCACATATCAAATGGGCCGAGGAAGAAGACAATAACACCCAGTACTTTCACAACATTATTAGAGACAAAAGAAGGAGGCCACAACTACATAGGATCAAAAACCACAATGGTGGATGTGTATAGGGAAGTGATAACATCACCGAAGCAGCCATACATCACTTGGAACATATCTTCAATCTACCACACCAGTTCACAGATCATGCTATTCTAGACATCATCCTGACTTGTATGAATCAGGAGGACAACATTAAGCTTACTAAGGTTTTTGATATAGAGGAGATTAAAGAAGCAATTATAAATATGAGTGCATGTAGTGCAACTGGACCAGATGGTTATAATGGGTACATGATGTGTGATTAACAGTTAATCGATTAATCTAAAATTAAAAAAGAAAGAAGAATCAATTGATTCCACGATCATATAAACTTTAGGATCTAAGCAAATTAAAATAAAATTCAAAACTTGAATGAAATTTTCTCGAACCTTTTTTGTGTGAACAACTGGAACAGGTGATAATGATTGTTGACAATCATCGAATGAGTTATCAGGAACCTATTGCAAAAGAGGAAAACTATTATAATTAAGAGAAACTAAGCAATCATCTAAAAAAGTACTTTTTTGTGAACAAAACAATTATTTCACCTGCTTTGATTTTAAATTTGCATCAACAATAATATCCAAAGACTCTATAACCAGAAGCAGTAAAAAGAGGAGGGAACTCCAAACCAGAGATAATAGTGATGAGAAAAAGAGAAAAATGGAGAATGAGGGAAATGGGAAGAACAAAGGAACAATCAACAATAAAAAAGAATCAGTTCAACAGGGATTTGCTATACAAAATTAAGGAAGATCTACTCAAGGTAACAATGATAATATTCAAAAGGAACAAGATCAAAAGAGATGGAAAGCAACAAAAATCAAATTGATATTGAAGAGCGAGAAATTGAAGCAGAAGAAGCTCCCAACACTTGCGATATAGTTCAAGAATCTAACAACATTCAGAGATGATAAACGACATATCCCCACAACAGTTAACAGTAACACTAGAAAGAACAACTAAAATAACAAAACACTAGATAACACCAAGGGTCAAAGCAAACAGAATCAACAAAAACATAAGCAAAACGAAAATCACTCAGATATGGGTCAATTAATAGTCCAAGATGATGAAAGGCAACTGATTACTGTAGCTCATGGAGGTGAATACTATGAAACCTCTAGCAATATTCCAGCGAGATAAAGGTTATCCCTCGACTTGATTTGGTGATTGATCTTAATATAAAACCAATCAAAAAATTCCACACAACATCAAGGTATGTCTGAACAGAGAATTGAAATGTCAAGCCCTAATGGAAAAATTGTGATTGCCTGAACGTTTGTGAGTAAGGGTCATACTCTTGACGGGGTTCTAAATGATAATAATGGTTTCTCTCCAGTTAAGAAACGAAGACCAAGGATCAAAAAGTGTGATAAGAAGGAAAAAGATGAAAAAATAGAAAAAGTTGTCTAGAAAAACATTCCCCTCCTCACAAAGGATGGAGATCAAATTAGTTTTTCCCAATCTTATGTTTTCATGAGTAGAGCAATTTTTTGGTCTATTAGGGGATGAAATCAAAGAAAGCTACTCAAAAAACTCAAAATATTGATTACTAAAAACAACATTTACTTGGTTGCAATCCTTGAACCTTTTGTGATTATATTAAGTATTTGAGATTTCGACATAGCATTTCCAAAGATAATGGTAAGATATGGTTCTTATGGACCGACAACTATCAGACTTCCATTATAGACAACAGTGAACAATAACAGCTTACTATAAAGATACACTACGGGGCTGCCAATATTGATCTTTTTTACCTGCTGTTTATGCCAAATTCATGGCTACATACAGTGATTACTAGTTGATCGGTTAATCCAAAATTAAAACAGAAAGAAGGATCAGTTGATCCCATGATCATATAAATGTAAGGATTTAAGAAAATTAAAATAAAATTAAAAATTTGAATGAAATTCTCTCTAACCTTTTTTGTTTGAACAATTGGAACATGTGATAATGATTGTTGACAATCTTCAAGTGAGTTATCAGGAACCTATTGCAAAAGAGGAACACTATTATAATTAAGAGCAACAAAGCTATCATAAAAAAGTACTTTGTTTGTAAACAACACAATTATTTCTGCTTTGATTTTAAATTTGCATCAAGATTAATACCCAAAGACTCTATATATGCTTGTATTCCTTTCTTCACTTTATCAGCTATAATTTCTTCCATATCCCTTTTTGCTTCCGATAATTTTCTCTCCATCGCTTCCTTTCTCTTTTGCTTCCTCTTTCGCTTCTAAAAACTTCTTATCCATCTCTTCCATCTCTATTTTTGTTTCAGATATCTTTTCGGTCATCTCAATTTTCATAGCTAATGTAGCTTTTTGAACTTCCATCGCAACCCTTGTATCAAAATCTCTTTTTTCAGCCTGAGATCATTTATATACGGGGCCATAAACTAAGCTAGGAGATGCTCATTTTCCTAAAGTTCGGACAATTCCATGAGCGTCTGATCCCATTACTTGTGAGTACACATCATTAGGAGCACATCCAGGGACATTCAAATCAGGATACACCTCAGCAAGATCATCCATTTGTTTCTTTTTGAAAGAAAGGTAAAGTAATGAAAAGTTAAAAAAAATTGTAATAGAATGAAAGTACCTATATATTTATAAAGAGTAAGAATATACCATAACTTCACCAGCTATATCATTTACTGGTTGTTTATTCGCTCTCATGTGGGTTTTTTTAAACACCTCAATACGAGTTGGCTTTACACCATTATTCTTTTTTGTCATCTGTTTGAATAGTAAGAGTTTGCCATTAAATATTCGTGATAAATATTATTTAATATATTAAATATTTGGCTAAAGTTGCACATATTTTTAATGTTTTGGCTAATGAAGCTGCACTTTTCACTTCTAAAGTTTCACTTTACTCCAAAATAAAAATAAAAATATATCAGCCCATATAATACATGTTTTTCGCACACTTAACTAAAGAATAAGAAGATATTGTTACTTATTACCATATAAAAGTCTATAGTTTCACTTTACTCCAAAATTAGAAAAAACATATTAGACCATATAATACATGTTTTCCGCACACTTGACTAACGAATAAGGAGACATTATTAATTATAACCATATAATAGTATTCAGATTAAAAAGAATAGAGTATACACCTAAGTAAATTTCAATTTGACAAAATAGATATCAAGCTAACCTTTGATTGATTTTACTATAGATATATTTTAGACTAAAACTGTAAAAAAATAAGTATCAAGGTTTACACAATTTTTCTTTTGAGTAGTATAAAAGAAGAACTTTGTAAATACTTGTAGAACGAAAAAAACATTTTTGGAGTTTCTTACCCAACAAAACCTTAGATCTCCATACTATTAAAGAAAACAAAAAACACATAATAACCTGTAAAGTTCACACAAAGAGTCCTGAAATCTACACCAATGTTGTTCGGCTACTGTTGTTTTCTTTGTAATCTTTAAACTGCAAATCAATAGTAAAATTTCAACAAATAAATATAATGTATGAAGGCTATTCATGTGAAATTACATAATATTTAAAAATTATATAAGAAGTACTTCAAACTCCAAATCTATTTCAAAGCACAAATTTTTGTAAGAATCTCTCTAAAGAACTTCAAGTAATATACTCGCCTCAAGAACATACGAAAGAGTTTTGAAGAAAATACTAAAATTTTCGATTGTTTGAAATTTATATTGATAAAAAGAGGTGCAATTTTCGGAATTGGAGGAAGGAAGCCCTAAAATCAGAATTAAAAGGCGGGAAGTGTCGAAAAATTTACCTCCAATTTGTTTTTTCCTCCGTATATGGAAAAAACTCCATATTTATCGGTTGAAATCTGCAATTTTCCATATCTTTTTATGACTTTAATTTGTGGAGAGAAAATTGTAAAATTGAAAGGACTTGACAAATTTTAACAAAGATGGGACTGAGTTTGAGAAAAGGACTCAAATTGAGAGGACCCAACATCTAAATTTGTTGTTTGATTTGAAAATTTGTTGGATCTAGCTCTCTCTCATATGGGTCTTGTGTAGGGATTTTGCTAATTTGATTGGTTTTTGCACTTCTCCTCTTTCAAAAGTCAAATGGGTCTAGTGTAGGGATTTTACTATTTGAGAATAAATTTTTTATAAATGTAATTCTTGAACAAATTTCAAGCATTAAAAAAAGATGTGACCTTTGGCATCCTATTTTTAATTTAGTTCATTATTTAATTGCTTTTACAAGATTATTCATTTTATTCTGCTCTCTTCTTCATTTTTACTCCTTTACTAATTTTTAAAAAATAATAATTTTTATTTTCACTTATGACATATAAAAAAAATAAAATTATTATTTTTCTATTTTTATCCTTAATATTAATTCATTATTTTCCGAAATAATTTTAGAAGATCTAAGACTATACATAAACTAATGTGGATATTGTAATATACCTTTCACTTTCTAGTTATAGTCTTTATGCCAATGAACTTGTCCACGCTTCACACAGTTATGAAAGACGATAAGATGTCAATTTCTATTTATCAAAGCATATGATTGATTTCATAGAGAGAATCGTTTGGTTAGTAGTTAGCTAGCTTCCAACAAAAGCATAAGTTAGTATATTATTGAATAAAAATACATAAACTTACGACAAATTTTTTTTTATATAAAATACCAAAATATAGAGAAATAATAAAGAGAACTACAAAAAATAAATAAATAATGCAATATCATTCTTACGATCTTAATTATTAGAAAATAGAAAAAAAATACATAAACAATATACAATCTTCCGATTGAGCTCTTGTCGAGATCCATTCCCACAAGCCAATCACATTCAATAAACTTCATTTATTCTTCAAGTAAAACTAAAGAACGCATAACATAAGTAAGAAAAAAAACATTGTTTGGGGATTTTTTTTTTTATATATATATATATATATAGCAATTTTTTTCCAACGAAGCCGTGTCTTGTGACACCTCTTGGGCCTTCCTAGATCCACCTCTATATCTTCCTCTACATGAAAAGCCCAGGTAAAGTATCTTTGATTGATTTTTTATCCGAAATTAGACTTTGCAATCAGAAATCCGACCTCGAACTTCTTGCTTCAATTTGAATACCCTCCCAAAATCACATATTAACTCACAATGGATTGAATCCAAAAATAAAAAATATAGCTTTATAAAGGGGAAATTAAATTAATAGAACAAATCATTCTCATAATTGAAATATCGAAGAGCTGGCCGTAGAGTGACTTGAGTTATATATACATATAATTTATGTTGCCTCAATTGACATTACACGAGAGGTGAGGGCTCAATTGTCTGAAAAATCTTTTGGGATCTTTCTACTTCTTTAGAATAAAAAGAAAAAACTTAATTCTTCTTCTACAACGGATATTGTAATGAATGTTGAGTTACTATACGTTACCCCATAAGAATTAAACTTTAGTCCTTTTGATAAGAACGATGTTAAAAATGAGATACTTTTAATCTTAATGTAAATTTCGTTCAAACATAATCTGGGGGCAAATTTGGTCGACCTTTATCTATATATATAATGATGAATAATTTTTTTGAAAATAACTAGATTTTAAAAATTAAGTGTAAATATCAGTAAGTAGCGACTAATAATAGGTTTTAACAATACTTTTCATTTAACAGTACTTTTCATCATATGTCATAAAAATCAATGACATTTTTCAAGAAATGGCATATTATATTCGATATTCGTATCAAATGTCACTATTTCAGTGACATTTTCACTATATGTCGCTCGAATCAACGACATTTTGCAATAAATGTCATAATATATTCGACATTTGTATTAGATGTCGCTAATTTAGCAATATTTTGCTAAGTGTCGCTATAAAAATGACAGTTTACAACAAATGTCATTTTAATGACATTTTTCTAAACGTCACTAAAATCAATGACATTTTGCAATAAATATCACAATATATTTGACATTTATGTTAGATGTCACTATTTTAGCTATATTTTTGCTAAATGTCGCTAAAATCAACGACATTTTGCAACAAATGTCATTATATATTCGACATTTGTATTTAATGTCACATTTTTAGTGATATTTTTTCTAAACGTCACTAAAATCAATGACATTTTGTAAATATATTCAGCATTTATATCAAATGTCATCGTTTAAATGACATTACCGCTAAATGTTGCAAAAAAAATGACATTTCGCAATAAATGTCATTATCATTGCAACATTTTTGGACCAAATATCATAATTTTTACGATATTTGATGTCAAATTTCATTGTTTTTTACGACATTTTGACATAATATGTCATTGTTTTATGACATTTTATTCTTAAATGTCATAAAATTCTTTATTTTCCGATATTTGTTTCAAATATCGCCAAATTAATGTCGTCGTATGGCTATTTTCTTGTAGTGAACTTAGGCTAAAGCCTAAATTGGGGGTGTGGTGAAAGGGAAAAGGAGAAGTCAAGAAGTGCAAGAAAAGTCTCCCTTAACCCATGGTAT